TCAGCTACGGCCATAGCCGGCCTTCCCGCCCGCCCGACCCGAAAACAAGGCTCGGTGCTGGTTTATTCCGCTTTAGGCGCCGCAAGCCTTGAGAAGGAGCGAGCGACGGAACGACCGCAGCAGCAACCCTGCGAAAGCCACCTTCTGGCCGGATTGGCGGCCAATGACATGTGGAGAACTAAAGAGGGCGTTGCAGGGGGAAAAAAACATTATACTCGGGAGGTGACAGCACGTAAACTCCTCCTTTTCTCGCAATGCTCAGGAGTGCGCGGTGGTGAACATGGCAGAAGAGGATTAAGACCCGGGTGGCGGGGCGCCGGCGCCTGAGCGGAACTCCCGCGCCACTTGTTGGCTTTGCCCTTTCCGAGCCTTTTTGCGGACCTGCTGGCGCCGGGTGGCGGGCTCGGGGGCAGCGGCCGAAGGCGGGCCGCCTTCGAAAACAAGCGAGCGGGTGGTGTGTGTGTGTTTGATTTCTTCTCTTTTGTATCTGTGCGTGGAAGGCAAGGTCCAAAACAGGAAGCTTGCCCAGCCGGTGCGTGTCTGTGGGGGGGGGATGATCCGACTATGGAGGGGCAGCGGCGGGGAGCCCAGGAGGCTACCGTTTTGCTGAGGAGGCGCCTTCCGCGGCGACAGTGGGAGTGGCAGCAGCGGCGGCGCAGCCCCGCCGTCGTCGCAGCCATGCTGCCCGGGGTGGGTGTGTTCGGCACGAGCCTCACCGCCCGGGTCATCATCCCACTGCTGAAGGACGAGGGCTTCGCCGTCAACGCGCTGTGGGGCCTCACCCAGGAGGAAGCGGAGGAGCTGGCTAAGGAGATGAGCGTCCCTTTCTACACCAGCCGGATAGACGAGGTCTTGCTACACCAGGATGTGGATCTCGTCTGCATCAACCTGCCGCCGCCTCTCACCAGGCAGATCGCCGTCAAAACGCTGGGTGAGTGAGAGGGAGTCGGCAGGGCCGGGCTGGCGGAGAGGCAGCCGGCCCTCCCTACCTTCTAGGGCGGGCGGTGTGGATTTGTGAGGCCCTTCCTTGAAATCTAAGGCGCCAGGGTTTTTTTATTTTATTTTTTTCTTTGCTTTGCTTTTTTTAAAAAGCCTGACTGGAAACCGAACGGCTGGATGCTCTCCTGGATGCATTTCTCGTGGTGGGCGGAACCCGCTTGCTCATTGGGGAATAAATAATCATACTTTGCTCATGCTCAGAGGCATGGAGTTGTTCATTATTATTATTTTGGCAGGGCATGCCTCAGCATTTAGCACTTTTCATTTTTTTTAAAAAGGTTCTTAAACAATACTGTTAGCCAGGATAAAATCACTGAGGTTATTTTAAGCCCTGGCTATGGAGCATCATGTCAGCTTTGCCCCCCCCCCCTTAGGAATAGGCTGTGCTCCATTTCTAAGCATTACCTCCAATATATAAATTATTCTTCCTAATCCTAAAGGTTTGACCAGAGTAGAGTCAATCTGGGTGTGCAGGAAAGGCCCACTGCTATACTCAGCGACACTATTGGGTTTTTTTCTGAGGAAGAAAACAGGATTGACACCTAAACTGTAAAGAATTTATGGCTTAAGTATTGTAGTTAGGAGAGTATAGGCCTTGACAGGTTTCTTTTTTAAGGCTAGGGGGAAAACCCTTTTCCCACATTCTTTCCAGATACACCCAGCCTTTTATTTATGGCAACATGAGATTATTGTTCACCAGGTTCCTTTTTGAATCTGTATCTTTTCATGTGTATATTTATTCGTCTTACTCACCAAGAAATTCAGAGCAGCATGGCAGCATATTTCACAACTATTTTAATGCTTTTTTGTTACATTCATAGACTGCCTTTGCTGCAATGAGCTTGAGGTCATTAATTGAATGCTTCTTTCTGGTTTATCCTCACGGCAATAACCCTTTGAGATAGAACAGGGGAAGAGAGAGCCACTGACCACTCAGTGAGTTTCATGCCCCAGTGATTCAGTAGCAACTTCAACTTGGATCTCCTAAAACCCAATTTAGCACTTGTAAGCAGTACACTACACTGGCTGTGTGAGATAGTTTAGAACAGGGGTGTCCAACCTTTCACCTTCCCTGGGCCACATTAGAAGATGAAAATTTGGTTTGGGCCGCATGGGGGGGCAGCCCTAGCCGTCCTCCGCAGCCCCGCTCCAAGTGCGCTTACCGGCAGCTGCGATCTCAGACAGCAGAGGCTGCCAGCTTCGACTCCGGCGGCTTTATGGGGCCTGGAGGGGGCCCACCTATTGACAGGGACGGCATAATGCATTCACGCAGCCCCCCTCTCCCCTCCCTCCCACTCCTTCCTTCCTTCCCTCTCTCCCCCTCTACTGTTGTAACATGCCCCGGCCACATTCCGGCTGCAAGCGCTGGCAGTGTAACTTGAAACTTTGGAATTTCTTTAAAAATAAAAAATTGCACAGGGCCGCATTATGAGCTGACCTGGGCCGCATGCGGCCCTCGGGCTGCAGGTTGGACAAGCCTGGTTTAGAATGAGAGGAAAGGAATGATACAGAGTCATCCATTAAATTTAGTGTTGGAGCCGGGTTTGAACTCAGATTTGCTAATTCTCAAACTTTGTAAATGGCCACATGCTTTTTAGAATATGCTTCTCCTTCTTGTGTGCCATACCCTGTGTTTTAGATAACAAGTGATACGCTTTTTGACTACATTTATTATTCATCTTCTAAATGTAGATTAACTGTCATAGGATTAGAAACGTGGAATTGTGGGAGAGTTTTGAAATATCAATGATTTTATCCACTTCCAAAAAATGTAATTTCAGTCCTTCTCTTATTTATTTTATTTATTTTTATTTCATCAGAGTCCAAATAGATGGTTGCATGCTGAACATTACTGATCCAATCCAATAAATTATAGCAGACAACAAATATTATTGTAAAACTGCAATAATATGTGGTGCAATTTTCTTTCAGAGTGAGTTAAGGGGGCATTTTTGTTTATGTTCACAATGCTCAACTTTATTTGTTTCTGCACTGCCTTTTGACAAGTGCATTCTAAGAATAATACAACAAACTGAATTCCACAAATCATTAATTTAAGTTTTTTTAAAATATCCTGTGAACCATTACAACTCAAATAGTTGTGTATAATTTTTTATTTATATAGGAGGTAACAGATACAATAAAAAGAATGTGTGATATAATTATTGCTCTTTCTTTTTTTGTTTTTATTCTTATTTGTAATACAAAGTATATAGCTATTTCCAATCAGCTGTCTGTAGGAAACACATAAGAGAACTAATTTTACATTAATATTGAGGATATGGAAGCTGTTGTTCTTTAGGAAAGAGCTGTAGTTCAGTGGTAGAGTACATGCTTTGCATAGAAAAGATATCTTGTTCAATACCTGCTATTTTCAGGTATGGCTGGGAAAAATCTATCTGAAGCTCTGGAGAACACTGGCAATCAGTCCAGACAATACAGCAGACAGAAATGCACCAATTACCCCACGTAAACTATCTATGTTTATGTCTTTGATCGTATTGGACTATGAGTCTCCATAGTAGGAGAAAGTTTAGCCTTGTTGGCATTGCTAGATTTCTCCCCCCACCACATGTGGTTACCCAGTTCTTTTATTTCACTTATATCCTGCACCTTTTCTATCAATTTCACTTACATGGTTCTTTCGTTCCTTTTTTTATCCATACAACCAATCCTGTTGTGTAGTTAGGCTAACAGGCAAAGACTGACCCTATTTCTAAGAAGGCTCTTGCTGTCATCCCCTCTAACAAAACCCCAGTCAGTGTGGAAGAGACCTAGGGGTACCTTCCTGTGGGAGATCATTTCTGAGATACCTCAGTCTTGACCACTTTTTTTTAAATTTGGTATCCTGTGAAGCTGTCATAAAATGGGCACAATGTGATCCATCCAACTGGTCTCATCTAATCATTTGGGTGTGGCACTATGGGACAATTTAAGTTTCTGCACTGTCTTCAAGGACAGCCTTCTTTAAGGTATAGAATAAGTGACCCAAATACATTGGTTGAATATGAGGAAAATATTAGTTTCTTTACCATGCATGCATTAGGTTGGGGAGGAAGGACATTCCAGTTGTTGCTGCCTTCTTCTCAGAAACTTAACAGGTTAAAAGAAAAAGAAACTATACTGGGTTAATTTTTTTTATTAGTCATAGAACTTCAATTTAAATATGGCTAACCACAAATATATCTGTAATATTCAAGGTTATATGCAGCCATTATCTCAAACCCTTCCACAAAAAAAAAACCAACCCCTGTGAAAACCACCATGGCGTAGTCAACTTTAGCTAACCAGTTGAAGAGCCCCTCTGGCTTCAGAATGTGCAGATAGGAACGTTGGAAGCTGCACCTGTCAGATTCTTGTTCTGTTTATCTCAGTATTATCTGTAATGACCATGAATTGCTCCAGGATTGCTTTTCCAGCTCTTATGCAGATATGCTAGGGATTGAGACTGGGACTTTTTGAATTCAAACCATATGCTCAGTCGCTGAGTTTCGGCCCTCTATTAAATTGCTGAATCAACTGTTAGAGAGAAAATATGTTTTAATATTTGGGTCATTTCCTTTATGCTTATTGTCTTTTCAGTAGTACAGTATATTCATTTTTCATCAGGCTAAGGCTAACGTAGGGTGCAATCAGATGGGCATTTATTTAGCCCATTCTTTCATCCACTGTGTTTAGTCCACTGCGGGGATGGGTTGGGTTGCTCCTTTTACCAGTAATCACACAATGTAATTGCTGGAGCAATCCAGATTGTCTCAAGGCTTTTCTGTCTGTAACTTTCTGAATCCTTGTCAGGCATTTCTACATTTTTGGTGCAGGTAACATCACTTTGCTCTATTTCCATCATGTGTCGTCAACGGTAGTGGACCAAAAGCAAGCCTTCTGGTGTCAATTGGTTCCATTAGAGCAGACTAATGGGGCTAAATAGGGTCATTTGGAATTGCTTAGAGCTTGCATCCAAATGGCATCAGAGAGCTCAGGCAACCCTGTTTGATTCAGTTCCTTCCAGTTGGAATTGCTGATATCTTAAAATGACTTAATAAGTGATCCACTTCAGGATATCAGCAAATCAAACACTTCCTCTGCTTGGCACTCCCAAGCCAACTACACCAGAGCACAGGTTGCTGTCCTCTGAAGATGCCGACCACAGAGACTGGCGAAACGTTAGGAAGAACAACCTTCAGAACACGGCCAAAGAGCCCGAAAAACCCAGAACAACCATTACTTCCTCTGCTCCTTGGTGGAGTAGTGGTTGGGTGACCTTTTTATATATATACTATAGTAGACCATTGCTTATTATTATTTAATTAATCTAATTTTGTTTTAATTATGTTGTTTTGGTTGGATGAGCGATATATAAATCAAATAAGTGAATAAATAAATGATATACTACGTCACTTATAATTTTTTCAAAATATATTTTCTTTTTCTTGAGTGAAAAGCTGATTGAGAAACTGCCCATAGCCAAATCTGTGTTCAGTTTGCCAGTATCCTGAAGTTGCTTGAGTTTCAGTATGCCATTTGGATGAAAAGGGTTGCACCAAATGGCACATCACATCTTTAAGCAATTCCAGGCATTGTGGTATAAGATGGGGAAGAGTGTAAGGAACAGTGACAGAAAACAGTCCCCCACCCAGAACAACAACAACAGAAAAAGATTATAATTGGATGTATACCATTAAAACATGTCCTTGGGTTGTTTTCAGGTATGTATTAAAAGAAGCTTTGAGAGCCTACCTATGTGGAATGGCTCCACTGGGGTTTGAAGCTTTGTTTTTTTCTTGTCAAGATCAATTTAGTTTTACTCTCAGCTTTCTCTGTGCAGGTTAGGTCAGCCGCTAGCCCTTTGAGTACAAGTGGCTTTTGGGGAAAGAATCTTAGCTGTTGTTTGTGAAATAGACAAAAAAAAAAAAGGTTTCTAAAGTCAAATCT